CGACAACCAATCAGCACTGTCTCTGATCAAAAACCATGATAACCATAAGCGATCCAAACACATAGCACTGAGGAACCACTACTGCAGAGAACAGTACAAAAATGGTCGCATAAAAGTCACATATATTCCATCATTAGACCAACTAGCAGATCCACTAACAAAAGCCAAAACCCAAACACAAATCCACTGAGAAACAGTCACTTCCGTGTCACAATCGCTCTGAGCCAGCACATCGACAGAGGGAGTGTTGTAATCCTAGTCCGTGCTAACATAACGTAGAGACGCGCATGGTCTAGGTCATGGATTAATATAGTCGCTGTGCCTACACAATTGAGGTAAGCTACGTAGTGGTTGTAGAGATCTGTTGAGGATCAGGATGTTGAGAAGTGATAGCAGTGCACGGAACAGCTTCTCATGTATTTAGACAGGTGGTCAGGCACTGCCCCCAAAAGTGTCCAGCATAGATCACACACTTTATCCATTATACTTTAGCAAATAATAATCCCTTCTAAAGTCTACAACTCAGTTCTCTAGCATTATATCACAACTGTCTCTAAGTCTATCCCAAGAATATCTCCAGTGCTCATCATTCACAACAAGAACTGTTTCTCTTAGCGCATCTGAAGCGCATTCAAAGGCCAGGCCAGATCGGACCTAATACATCTGCACGATTGCGGATGCCGCTACTCCAGCTCGCTCCGTGATTAACTTTTTTATGGTGATAGGAGATAGTCTCCACCATTTGTGGTCTGGACCCAGTCGAAGAAAAAGTCGTTTATCTTCTTTTGGGGGCATTGGAGTCGTCATATTTGCCGGCAAGAAAGTCTTTCGATGAAGCAGAGCTGCTGGAGGAACTGGGAGCTTTGCACCTCTACGAGCTACTACTGCCCATGGGCTCTTGTCTACTTGAGGCTTTGTTGGGAGCGCGCAATCAGGTGGCGCAAATATTTTGGTCACCCTGGGAGCCTCTGTTGTTATCGCGCTCTTCGAGGGTTGGTAGGTCTTACGGGGGGTTTCATTTACCTGTGTTATTCCAATAGCAAACGACGTTACTATTGTAGCTATACTTTCAATAAGAGGCGTCACTGTGGCCAACGCCGCTGTTCCTTCCTTGGTTTTAGCCCAAGCGTCGATTATTTCTAAGAATTCCTGGGCAAGATCCAGTCTTTCTTTCCTTTGTTGCTCTGCTTTTTGCATTGCCTCGGCAATACCCATCAGAGTTGGGTGAATTGTTGCGCTGGGGTTGGTAGCCATCGATGAGGACGATGCGCTGGCAGAAGCCATTGCACCGCTACGCATTTGGAATTAATCGGACTCTGGTTCAAGATTATATTTGTGGGTATGCAATTTTAGAGATGCTTGATGCTTGATGGAACTAAGCGAATAATGATAAAGATGTCATCAGTGCTTTCATAACGCAAGACTGTCATGGGTTTCCTATTACAACTACATACCTGTACACAACATCCCGAGCCACTGAACACCAGGCATTGCCGTATGCTCACGATAAGGATATTACAATTTGCGTCATCTACACGTGAGTTCTTACTACAGGCAAGCCCCGAGGTACCCATAAGTCTGCAGCCCCCATCCTCTGTGGCCTACCCCTAGGCTCTCCTGTCTCTCCTATTCTCTTTCTCCTGGCAAGCGAAGGAGTTCTTCGACTGTCGCGCGGCCCATTTGGGTACGCAGATGATATCTCTCATTTCTCTTCCGCGACCTCTCTAATATCGTGTGCCGGTCTCCTCCAGACTCAGCTTAACAAAACCCTCTCCTGGGGGCGGGAAAATGGGTTCACTTTTGATACTTCGAAGACGGAGCTCCAGTACTTTCACCGGAAACGTGGCAATGTTGTAGAGCCAACAATCTACATGGGTGAAACTGAGATACTGCCCAACAACTACACCCGCTGGCTCGGAGTACACTTCGACCGTGGTCTACGCTTCCAATATCATATTAGTGAGACCTGTAGAAAGTCCCTAGCTATCACAAGCCATCTCAGACGACTCTCGTGCACCACCCGCGGTATCAGCCCTCCCCTTCTTAGACAAGCTATTCAAGGAACAGCTTTCGCTATCCTCTTCTTTGGAGCCGAGACATGGTATTCCAAAAGTACTCCACAGGACATAATAAGGCGTGTTCAGTGCAGGATTAATGATGCTACTAGAGCCGTCCTTCCTGTCTACCGAACGACTCCGGCTCCTGCCCTTCTTCGAGAGACCAGATGGGGGACGGCTAGCTCATGGCTAGAACGGATACACGACCGCCTCACAGTTCGAGTCGCGTCAGCAGACCCACGTCACCCTTTACGGCGGCGCTGGACTTCCTCCCGAGTGTTGTGGATCCGACAAAGAACATCTCCCGAACTATCAACTGATACAGTACCACCCCCATGGAATACCAGTCGAGAGTTACTTCTACAAAATATCGGGGCTATAGGCAGAAAAAATGGCCGGAAAGAATTCATGAGTTGGCAAGCATCTCAACCCCCTTTGGATCTATTCGTCTTCTCTGACGGTGCCCTTTCAGAGGATAGAGCCGGGTCCGGATATGTTTTCTATCGGGGCCTCACACAGATAGTTGGGCAGGGGACCCTTCCTCTCGGAGAATCTGCCGAAGTGTACGATGCAGAAATAGCCGGGGCTACTGAAGGCCTAAGTGCCGCCCTCCATAGTCCGATGGCTCGATACGCCACAAATATTACGGTTTGCCTAGATAATCAGGAAGCCGCCCTTCGTCTCCTTGCAGATACTCCTTCCTCTAGTAGCTCCTCTCGTATCGCTTACTTTCGATACCTTGCTACTAAATGGATAGAGAGAGATCGTAGCCACTTTCCTGAACCGGGTGTAGTCAGAGTGCGATGGTGTCCAGGACATGTCGGCATACCGGGCAATGAAGCTGCTGACGCACTTGCTAAACAAGCATGCGCAACCCCTTCACTCCCCCTATCTCCAACAATCTCACGAGCAAAGAGAGACATAATCTCTCGATACAAAGCCTCTGTATCCCTGTACTGGTGCCAAAACGCTCCTGAACGATACCAAAAACTGGGAATTAACGCCAATATTGGGAGCTCCCCCGAACTCAAGAGCCTTAACCGCTTCGCTCTTGGTCGCCTTCTTACAGCTCGCTCAGGCCATGGAGACTTTGCTGACTACCACCGCCGCTTTCAGCACTCGGACGCTCTTCTAATCTGCGCTTGCGGGCTAGAAAAGTCGCCCGAGCACTTCTTCTTTTGTGGACTCAATCGGAGTCGTTCCCGCCTTTGCAGCGGAAATAAACACCCAACGACGGGAATTCGCTGGATCCTAGGCTCATCTGAAGGAGCCATAGCTTTTAGTAAATGGCTTCATGAAACGAGCTTTTTTGAAGCATGCAACAACAAGACTAACTAGTACCCCAAATTATATGCACTTGGCCTGTATTTGCTAGAGCTAAATTTAGAAGACTTCTGGTCTAGGTGGTGGATAACTTTCCTTTTCATATATATAACTATCTTCTCTATTGTATTAGAATACAAAAGTCTCAGCTCGAGAGTACTTTTGGGCTTCTTTCGATAGTTCGGGGTGCATGGCAGGTAGGCCTTGGCCCATTTATAACATGTCGGGCTTATTGAAAGGTATCGGCACGTCGGGTACTTTATGTAGACTGAGCTGGCCAACACGAGACCTTAAGGTTTTGTTGTGAGCTAGCACGACGTTAAATAATTATAAAAAAAAAGTCTGCAGCGCCCAGCTGGCCGGCCTCTTAGATCGCTTCAGAAGGATCACTATGTGTTCGAATTGGGTCCTGGTCAACGATGTCTAGCCTAATTGTGCTATGTTGCAGGCTACTGTTACAATTATTCATGGGGTCATCATCAGGGTTGTGAGTAGTTTCGGTCTTGGTGTGGGTTGTTAGATTGATACCTGAGCGTGTCGCATAGTAGTCAGACATGCGACTCGAGTAGCATATGCACGGTAAACCTCAACCCCAAAATGATGATACGAATCAAGTTTTATATGCTACGTCCTGTATGGCTAGCGTGGTTGGAATATAGGGAATTTACCTGTAGATAAAGACGTTGTAGCCCTCTGATAGTTGGGATAAGTATTCTACAATATTATATTGGAATCAATACTGGCCTCTCATTAAGCAATCTCATGAATTATTTCCAATGTCTGTGATAACAGATATACATATACAATATCGACAACAAGTTTCAATGTCGATAACTATGTCTTCGGATTTAGTCCTAATGTCGTTATTAGGAGAACTCCGCACCCAGTGGTTTTTTGCGATTTTTCCCGGCTGCCATACACCCGCAAATGGCCATCGTTTCGTTAGCTGGGAAGGGGAGGTTATGAAGGGCAAAGGGCTCCTCTTAGTGTATGATCGAATAAGGACTTGTGAGGGGTGGTACTGTTTGAGGGAAGCTGTATGGGAGGCATAGGAGGGCATATACTACTGGTATAGGTATCCTTGGCCTGTAGGCAGAGAGGACCTGCATGTCTTACATAGTCATAGACTCAGACAGGGCAATAAAATGAATTAATCATTACTATAGGCAAGCCGTTACGCATGGTAATGAACCCACATTTTTGGCAGTGCCTAGCGCAAGGCCCAGTTGGGTTGTACCCATGGCTTAGCGATAAGTAATGGCCTTCTTGGCAGATTTAGAGAAAGTAGAACAGAGGGGGTTTATTAACCGCGGGTAGATTTCTTTTCAGAGCCAGCCTAAATTTGATAGAAACAATACATGTACATCTATACCTTCGACTTCAAAGTCTCCGTTTGTCTGCTTTTTTGTTTAAAGACGAGTTTTTACTTCACCCTAGTTTCCCAGTTACCATGCCCAATTATATACTTTAAATCATAAATTCAACATTTCGCCGTAAATTTAATCCAAAACTCTAAAATATAATCAAAACTACTTCCCATCGATAGCCCGATTATTTAACTTCCCTCTATTCCGATCATTTTTGATGGCAAGGAAATAGTATTTATGCTGGCATTCCAGGTTAAGATAAGTGAGGATTGTGGAAGTAATTTGGCGGTGGTGGTGGCTGAGACGGTTGAACCTGATGATAGATAGGTCCGTGAGAGATTGGAGGGTTAGACGGAAATTGGCTCATAAACTCTCTAGGATCCACAAAGTGTGGATTGGCAGGGAAATGCGACATTTGGTTATAAGCCCCATTTGCAAAATGAGGCTTGTATGGGTTCCAATGATTATCCGGCAAAGGCGGGTAGCCGTTACAGTTTTGCACCATTAACCGGGAAGCTCTCGCACTCTGAGATTGGTGTCTGAGCCGTTCCGTTCGCAGTTTCTCCTTGCGGACCTCTCGTTGGAGATCTTTCGTCATGGCTATCAGCTCTTCTTCCTTTTGTCTAAGGTCCTCCAGACGCTTTTGAAGCTTAGAGTTGTGAGCCGAGAGCCCCCGCACTCTCCTCTTCTCGTCCTGAATACCTGTCCTCACGGCCCCAAGAAGTTCTTGCAGATATGCCACATCTAAAACTTCATCTGTGAGAAACTCTTTGTAAGCATTTTACTAGGGGCTAGTTAATATTTTTCAGCTGCTTACCAGGTCCGTGCCTCTTGGTACCAGGCGCAAAGCGTGTCTTTTTGGGAATGTAAGACGGCATCACTCCGAGAAAGAATAAGTGTAAATTAAGAGAATATTTAGCTGTTTCATTTAAATTGTAATTTGCTGCAACATGTTGAAGCCTCCTTGGGGTGTGTTGATTTAGTTATTAAAAGAGAAATTTTGACTCCAGGATAGTCATGTGTAATTTTCGGATTTTCGAGCTGTGAGAAACATTGCGTCATGCGATAGACAATTCATCCCTCGAGAAATGGGTTGATTAAGTATAAGTCATGGGTGTAGCAGTGGAAGTGGGATGAGAGTCAGCCATTTAAAGTACGAAAGTTGGTGGCACAAAAACTGGGCCAAATTGTAAATGACCACAAGTCCAAATGGGCGTAGATCATCCATCAATAAACTCTTAGTATTCACGCGACACAGCTGCTCGTGTATCCCTACGTAGCCTGAAGCGCTATCTCATCACATAATGAAACCCAGTAAAAAGCGACTGATCATGTCAGGAACCTACATGATATGCAGGTCCCATGAGTTCGTAACACAGTATTTCAGCTTCCATCATGCAGATTACTGGCATGAAACAATAGTAGCCCGAAATATTCCCTGTTGCTGTCAATTCGATATCTCCAATCATGGTAGTTACTGATTTTAACTTGATTATATTTCTACAGAATACGGTCGGTGGCTAAGTTTTGTACAACATACTGAAAGGCAGTTTAATTTCGATCCAAGAAGATAGCATCAGGAAACCAACTACGCAAAGCATTAAAATATGCAGAATTCATGACTCAAGATTCAGGGAATTTATGACAGTCACCTCCAAAAACGCTTAGAACTCATCCACGCGAAAATGAAAAGAACCTAGAAATACCAGATTGTCCTCGTGTACTGCATCATGGTAGGCCAGACCTGCTATCCATGCATGTTGCATACTAAAATTTGTTGAAAACTACAATTTACATCTGCAATTATCGTTCTATTGGATAACCCTCGCCTTTTCATTCTGCAGCTAATGCACCACCTCTCGGGTCCGTGGAATCACTTCGCTGTGCCGTTGGGACTGTTAGACAAGGAAAATTTTTCGATGGCCAGTCTTTCACTGAGTTTATAGCTGCCTGTTGTGCGTGAAGCCGTTTCATTTGATGACTGCAGGTGTTAGCAAATTTTTTGAAATCTACGTAAAGCTGGACAAAAGAATTGCATGCAAGCACATTATGTGCAGGGCGAGTGCTGCTGCGGGTATTGAGAATTCAAATCCACATGCTTGAAGCATGTAGATCGCTTAGCGCCCTCACTTTCTCATAGAAACAAATCCTGCATCGGCGTTAGAGCGTGCGCTGAGAGAAGTGATGATCGCTGCCAGCCAAGTTTATCTTTAGTGGGGAATGAAATACAATACATGTCATTGGTATCCCCTACGGACATCCAGCTCTCATTGTAGATTCTATAGAGACCAGATTGGGTAAACATTTTCTATAGAAATATAACCCATTACTTGGTTTTTGGACTTGGTGGTAGAGAGAAGCTCATGCAATCATGAAGGATAAAAGGATGTCAATTCGGCTACTCTTCTAAGCTTAGGTAACAATCTCTTTAAAGCTCAATTAATTGATTAATTCATTTCATTATCCTGTCTGAGTTTATAGTTACATAGGATATGCTGATCCTCTCTGGCTATAGGCCTAGGATACCTATACTAGTAGTATATCCCCTCCTATGCCTCACATTCAGCTTTTAAGGCCAAATAGATAGCCCGTGCGGAATCTCCTTTCAAATTGTGTTCTGATGGTTCACAATTGAAACAGCATGATGAGAATATGACTCGTGGCTTAACTACAGGTAATTCTGCAGATAATAATGTTAAGTTTAAGCCCTGATAATATGTTTGTCCCTATCTCTCTGCTCCAAGTTCTTTGATTTGTGTCCAGCTTACTAATCACCAACTAACCACATTTGGTATTCAATCAACATTATGTAGCCTGCAACGTCTAAGTCTTCAATGAAGAAAACGACCCCTAGATGAGATGAGGAGATGCCGAGATGAGCCAAAGCTGGGATTGAATGGAAGGGAAAAAATACAAATGGGGAGGGTGTCAAGGGCTCGGGCGCATGGTGGCTGAGGCTGAGGAGGAATTTGTGCTTCAGCACGTCAAAAGAGGGTTCTCTGCGCGGTTGGGCTTGACATAATTCAACACATGGGTGAAGTCTGAGGTGGTCCGGGCATTCAGGTGGGACGGGGTAGATGTACTTATTGGTAGTTAATCGATCCAGCCCGGCCCGACCCGTGCTTAAGCTCCAGTCGGGGTGCAACGGTAGTAACTTTACCTAGCACGGTAATGAAGAAACCAAACCAACTTTTAAGCCCTATCTTCGCAGAAATAACGCTAGAAAACAGTATACGCAATCTCCGTTCGCCAAATACCCGTCTGTCGGGACTACTTATAATCGAGCCTAGTTGGATCGAAAAAATATGCCCTATGAGGTCAGAGACTGAGTGACTGAATGTGATTATTGTCCTATTGAGTCTATGAATATGTAAGTATATGTGTGTACTTTCTGCCTTCAGGTCAAGGATACCTTTACTAGTAGTATACCCCCTCCTATGCCTCCCATACAGCTTTCTTTAAACAGTACCACACATCGCAACTCCTCCTTCGATCATACAGCAAGAGGAACCCTTTGCCCTTCATCATCTCCCCCCTCTAGCTAACGAAACGATGGCTATTTGCGGATGTGTGTCAGCCGGGAAAATTGCCAAAACCACTGGGTGCAGAGCTCTCTCAATACCGACATTAAGACTAAATCCAAAAACATAGTGACCCTTCCGAAGCGTTCGAAGAAGCCGGCCAGCTGGGCGTTGTAGACTTGTGGGTACCTCAGGGAATTCACCCTCTATCTTTTAGCCTCCTTCCAACCTTATCCCGAAGGTCGTGCTGAGATGTCAGAAAAATCTTGAAATAAATTGATTAATTTATGATAGGTTATCCTGACTTCGTTTGTGCCGTTGACTCACCGGCTATAGAAGTCCTCCTGGCTAATTTGCCGAAATCTTGGTCCAGGCGCCCACAAACGTTCCAATGGATAAAAACAACCTCCAAAATGTCAGTCCTGATATACCCATAAGAGGTCTCTTCCTTATGTCTTTCTGCGCCCCAGTCGTCTGTCTTTCCTCAAGAAATAGAGCCCCGTCAGAGCAACTGTCCCTCGTAAGCCAAATCTCAAGCTTTATATCTCACGCTATATTCTCCTCCTTGCAAGTGCATGTAGCATCGTAAATCTGTGGATGGAGATGGCCAGTAATCCATTGGGTTAGCTCCATTCTACAATTGGAGTAACTCCTTTATCGGTCGTGGAGGCGAGATAATGTTCCGTTGCATAGAGGTTGAAGACTCAATTGATAATAGTGAGATCGACAGTTTTGAAAAGTCGTCAAATGTTGATTTGCACGTTCTTGCTTTTGACCAAGATTCGAATGCGATTCTACTTCGATATCCCAGATATGCAGAGCTATTACACCGGCACCACTGGAAGGTAAAGAATTCGACTTTGCCGGCGAATTTTCTCTGGTCTCAGCTAGCCGTTGAATATAAAACCACGCCGACTCTTACATGTGACGGAGGAAACAAAGTGTGAAGCACAAATCTGGGGGATAGTTCTTTGGACTGGGCGTGAGAGAAATTAGGAAAAGTTTACAAGACCATGCTGGAGATGGATACAATATTGAAAGATGTGAGACCTGGAATTTTGCTACGATGCTTTACACAATGAAGAGTATTATACGCTTAATTAGAGATCGCGATAGCGCAGGCGACAATGTCAAACAAATCAACAATTAATGATGTTGTAGTCCGCCTCCTGGTGGTAATCTCCAGTATAATTTAAGTAGCGTGGGCACCTACTCTATTTGGGAAGAAGACGCCTCGGACCTTAATTCGCGCGCAGACAAGGTAAAAGATGATGAAAGTATGTCTGGATAACTTGTGACTTTTGAGAATTTTCCCTGAGTGGGTATTCACGGATTAGGGCTTAGATTTTATTTATTTCTGTCACTGGATGGAGCAGCCTACATCTCGACCGATTCTTAGTGACAAAATCATACTCGAGCCTAAGGAAGTTATCAGGTATCTTGGCATCTGGTTTGACAGAAGACTTAACTTTAAAATTCATGGAGACAAGAGGCTTCATCTTGCTACTGGGGCACTCAGAATGATCCGAAATCTAGCCTCAGCAACAAGAGGACTTCATTGTCATGCCCCTCGACAACTCTACCTAGCCTGCATCACTTCAGTACTTGACTATGGATCTATACTATAGCATGGAAGGAGAGGCATGAGTTTGCTTTCAAATAAATACCAAAAACTTCGAAATCAAGCACTTACAATCATCATTGGCGCTTATAAACGCAGTCCCACAAAGGCCCTCGAAGTTGAGGCATCGATCTTACCAGTTAAAGTTAGATATCAGAAATAGCTTATCTTTTATGGAATCAGAATACTTCGACTCCAAAGAGATCATGTAAGCCACGAATATCTGTTCAGCCCTATTGAAGATGAACTAACAACTACTAACCAAATAGACTTAGGCTTACTTGACTTCATAGGCAAGTCAGTTACAAAGTTGATGAGAATTGGAAGCATCCTGAAGCCTCTTGCCAGCCTTAATAATTTAGAGCAACTGAATATACAATGAATCTCTCCCTGGCACCAACCATTTATTCATACCAGTATGTTATGAATCTACTTTTTGGCAGATTTTCGAAACTGTTAAGCTGCAGAGGTCGAGTCGATTTCGACGAAGACAAATGATCGAAGGTTCGAAGTTACGAATGTGCGAATCTATTACAAAGAGACAAATGAGGTATTCGAGGCTCGGATTATCAAAGGTTACGAACTTTTATATTCAAATTATCATATTATCAAAATAGCGAGTTCCAAACAAGTAAATTGTCCAAAACCTAAAAATTGTTAGAACTAGAGAATAAATCTAAATCCCGCTGCCCCACTCATAGCCAAATGAAGAAAATAACCCCTGCACCACCATATT